GGCTGTATTTTTTGAAATATTTTTAGATTATGATAAAATTATTTTTACTAAATATAAAATTACTTTTATGATTTTACATTATGACTATGACTATATACCTATTTTAAGATGGCTTAGTCATTGCAGGTTTTTTATACGAATTTTTTTTTTGTGCAATCAAAATTTAGATGTGATTTCTTCAAAGAGAACAAAAAATAGTTCTGAAAAGAATTAAGGAATTGACTTAAAATTGAGTTGATTGTGCATTTATATTACAAAAACAATTTTTACGAATTTTATTTAGTAAATTCACAAAACGAGCGTAAAAAAGACCGAGCAATACAAAATTAACAATTTTCATGGTCCATTAATTGGTTATTAAACATGAGTTTTTATTTAGGTCTAAAAGTACAAGAGTTACCAGTGCTACCCATAATTCTTTACCAAGAATTGCTTAATAATAAAAAAAGCGGAATGAAAATTTTTATGTGAAAAAAGAAAATACCAATAAATCGACCATATTGGATTTTAATTGAAATTAACATCACTGACCAAAATGAACACTGGGAATATTAAATGACCAATTTGATAAATTCAAAAATTTAACTGAAAAGAATCTTTAATTTTTTATTTATTCCAAATGAAGTAATTTGTTTCTTTAATATGCATTCTTAAAGATTCATTCGTTAATTCGTAGTTCTTTGTTCGTAGTTCTTTCCCCCCAATTGTTTTAAATAAATTAAAAAAATGATTATTGATTGATTTCAAATATAAATCTTCACATAAATTTTTTAAAAGAACACTTACCATTGCTAGTTAGATCCGTTCCATTGGCTTCTTGGACTAAATAAACTTTGCCAGAGTTGCTTATCGATAGAAGCATAAGTGAATCGCTAGCATTACTAGGATTTTTGAAATAATTAATACGTATAAATATAATTAATACGTAAAATTCTACGAATTTATCAAAACACAAAAAAATAGTAAAGCTCGCGATTTTTTGACCTTCAAACTTACTTGCTTTTAAATTGCAAGTTCACCTTCATATTTTGTGGGAAAAAATTTCAGTAGATGCGTGTGGTTTTAGTTTTTCGATCGATTGATAAGAAAAAAAAATCTTTATCCAGTTGTAAAACTGTACCTTTGATTTATCGCTTTTCTTCAGCAAAACGATTATAGCAATACAACTACTTTAAATATATTAAAGAATATAATGATAATAACAATAAAATGCTAAAATAATAGCAGCGAACAGCGATAATTACAATAACAATTGATAATTGTGGCGACAGTAATAATAATAATGATAATAGCAAGCAACAATAACAATAATAAATAGTAATAAATAATAATAATCAAATAGAATAATGTATCAAATAAATAAAATTTCACCTGGTGATAGCATGGGGTCTCAGTTTTTCAAGGGACTCTTAATCAAGCTGGAAAATAATTGGCCATTCGTAAAAAAAAAGGCCATATTAGGTAGAGTCTAGGCCAAAAAGTTTTATTTTATTCAAACTCCTTATATATAGATCGAAGTTAGACGTATTAAAATTTCAAATTAATGTTTGGAAAAGCATCAATAGGCTCGATTGTTACGAATCTACGATGAAATACTACTGCTTTTATAAACGATGAATAAGATGGCTCAGTGTCATTAGTCAAGACTGAGAACAAGCATTAATATTCCTTACTAAGTCAGTCATACTAACCAAAAATGGCCAGTGCTATAAAAAAAAGAAATATAATATAAATAATGTTTATCATCAATCCATTATCAACTATAACAATCTTCTGGTTTCTCTGGGTTAGGTTGCACATAAAATGAATCAAGAGCATAGTTAATTGTGGAAAGAGCAATGATTAAAAAAAATCCTTTACCAAACTTAAAAATAAACTTAAAAGAAATAAACTTTATTTATAGTATCTCATAATTTTAAGACAAGAGGGGAAAAAAATAAAATTCACATGTCTATTCGCAAATAAACCTACATAAAGCTAGTAGGACTGACCTGGCTTCGTGAAATTACTGGTTTGATGGAAATAGATACAATTCTCAGTAATTTTACAAGGTGCTCTCAACATTATTATTTTAAATTTGCTCATCGTATGCCCCATCCTAGACAACAGTTGCTCACAAATATACGCACTAAAAAAATGACGATATGAATAAGGTCATCATCAATCATCATCATTTCATAATCAACTATGAATAAGGCGTGATTGTGAATCGAGGGAGTTTTCTCTGCAGTGATAATTCTTTTAAAAATATCGTAAAGGGATATAATCGAATCTATGAGTTGAACGTTTGCCAGTCTATGCATTCCACTCGAAAATTCATTTTATTATAGCAAGTTCAAATTCATTTATGGCGATTTAAAATTCAGTTACAAATGTATCAAAATGGTATTTCCAGAAACCAAGAGTCCTTCCTTGAATCTTCTCAAATTCTTTCAAAACAAAAAACTATATATTTCTCGCTACCTACGTTCAAAATTCATATTTTAGCATGTCATAATTCAGATTTTCCTTCGAACATTATTGTAGTTTGAAACTTAGCATTGATAAATTAGTTTTCACGCTTCCGTCTTCAGTGAACGGTCGAGTCAACAAAAAGTACATTAAATCCGTTTTTTTCAATTTTTTTTTGTTTTTTGCTGTTTTCCATCCATTTTGCACATACAGTTCTGGCATAAATTTCGTTTTTGGTTCTTGTTGTCTATAAATTGCAGTAGATAGGAGAGGTAGGTAAAAACATTTTATTTGAAACAGTAGTCATAAATATGATTGATACAGCATAAAGATATTGCATCACTAGCAGTAGAATATATGGTTTTAAGTCAGCACGATATTTCATGACGCACAATTTGGACGTGAGTTTTTTTGATCTTTTCTAAAGTTGATACGAGACGATCCAAGATTATTATAATATGCAATAATTATATTTAAATACAAATTAATGGATTAAAGATTAAAATTACATAATGATTTCATTTTAACTTCGCAAATTTTTATCAGCACTTTATCGTGACAACCACGTTATTTTAGGGATGTACATGATTTATACTTTTGAGGAATTCCTTGGATTCATTCGTGGACACGTAGCGTCACCGCCAAAATATGCCACTATAAAAGTTACAATTTCGATATAAAATAAGAATTTGTTCGAGAAACAAGGTAATAGATAAACAAAGGGTAATAGATTTCAACTCGCTATTCCGCTACTGCAATAAATTTTTTTTAAGAATATCGGAAAAAAAATCACCTACTTGCATTTCTGCTCCCAGGTAATTCTTTGATGAAAACGTCTTATTTTTATAGTTTGTGGCTCAACCAAATTAGAAATGGTGATGGATGAAAAAAGGAAAAAAAGAGAAAAAATATTTCAAAAATACTTGTGGGGTTGCGAAAAGAGAATGCGGAAGAAACCCATTTCCAGAAAGCCCTATTGCCCGGATAGGAAGCTAGACAAACACAGGCATTTTTATTTTTGGTTATGACTGAGGAATTCAGAAGGAAATTTAAGAAACTATAATTCGAAGCTCGAAAAAAAATATTTTCTTTGTGCCATTTGGTGCCTTTGATGATAAATCTTACGAATTGATTGAGCGTAAATCGATGACGAAAAATTTTTTTAAAGTAAAAGATACATTTAAAAAATATATTCAATATTCCAAGGTTTATAGACATAAAGGATTGCCTTGAAAAGTGAAAACAAAATAACGCTTTAAAATACCATTTTATATTTTATAAAAATTCGCTGGAGTTTTGAATATAGTGCTGATAGTTTATGTGAAAAACGATATATAAACATATGAAATAAAATTACATATATTTATAAACGGAAACCAAATTCCTATAGTTTTCAGAGTATGCACTGAAAATTAATAGATTTATAGCTGAAATTCCTGATAATTCCTGTGTTGCCTAACTTCATTTTTATATAACTTCTTATATTTGATCCACTTATATTTGTTACATTTAAAGTCACAACATTATATTATTCGTAATTTCTTGCTTCGATTGCTTCGCGGTTTTTCTTTACGATACTGTTATCCCTTTATATAGTATATCAGTATGAATAAAATTTATTAAAATGTTTGGATGACGTGAAAATGCCAATAAGAAAAATTAATTTTTTGCAAAATTCCATTTTTTAATACGGACTTCTGTTTTTTACTACCCGTTTTTTCAAAAAATCGAAAATATTTTGCTATATTCAAAATCATTGTCTAATAAATGTTGCATATTTTTATCTGCTCAAAGGCCAATCATTTAACTCATAACTTGCTTCTTTCCCAAATTTCAATTTATATTTCTTCAATCCGAGGTGAAAAACTCTACAATATTTAAATATTAAATATATTAATATTAAAACTAATATAAATAAAACTAAACTAATATAAATATTAAAACGAATAAAGATTAAAACGATTAAAGAATCCTTTATGCCTTTATCCTTTGTTTAACACCCTTATGATTAAATGGTTCGAGACCATCATGCCCAAAGATGTCTTCGAATTTACTCTAATTTGACAATTTTTTAATCCATTATAACAGAGACACTCTAAAATCACTTCAGGGCAAAGAGAAAACTTTTCATAAGTAACGATAATAACAAAATTATTGCCTAAACGTCAATTTTATTCATCACTATGGATTACAATAGCATTTTTTACTGGTTATTGAATGTATTTATATTATATGCAAAAATATTAATCGGTGACGATACGAATGACCAAGAAAATGAAAATGTTTTAAATTTATTTAATGAAGAAGAATTGAGGTATTAATTATCTGCATTCAATTAGCCCATATAAGATTTTTTTTTTTTGTAGTTCCATGCGATATTAGATTTCAGATGACGCAATAATTTAAAAATGAAATTTTTCAAAATTAAAATTGAAAGAAATAAACTGAGTTTTAAAATCCTGTATGGAATTGTGAAAAAACCTTTCCTAAAAGAAAAGGATAAGATAATCATCATTTTCAGATCACGTTTAATTATAATAGACGGAAATATGTACTTTCATTCTGGAAAAAATAAAAAAATCTCTTTCATCAGTGGAGCTGGTGGTTCAATTTACTTTGGTGACACCGACATAAGTTTGCTTCCTGAACTGGTATGGACATCATTCATATAAGAAAGATAAAGAATGTAGAAAAGATAAAGAAATGATTTCTTACTTTCACAATCACAAAATCACAAAAAGAACTATTAGACCATCATTTGGTAGGTAAAATATGAATTTATTATCACTGGTTTCTTTTTCAGGCTGATTTCAAGCAAGTGAAAAGCGAATGCAGTACTACTAAGGTTTCTTCAAATTCATCTCCTAAGTAAACCTGTTGAAAAATGAAAATTTCATCTGAAAAATTATTAATTAATTAAAATCTCATCTGAAAAATATTGAAAGAAAAACTATTAGAAAAAAAAAGAATATAGGATTGCATTATCTGAAGAAGCTTTAACCATTTGTTTGTAATTGTTATTTCTTTGTAAATATTAGTTCACTGCTCACAAGCTGAAGCTGAACCATGGTCATCGACTTCTGTGGTGGAATTCCTCATCATTGAATATTTAATGAATTCAATTTGTTTAATATTAAAATTTATTTAATAACAAACTCTTCGATACCATGTTTCTTGGTATAACGTATTCCATCATCCGATAACAATTTATAGTAATGGGATGTGCAATTATAATAAATCGATCGTGGCCAAGATCGTGGTAGTTGAGTGATACATTGCTTCGACCAAGGCCAAGCTATCATAGGTTCAATTCCGGTTTGCTAGAGTAAGCCATTAAAAGGGGATGATGCTGAGGAAACACATGCACTTCTATCTTCAACTCTGACCTAAAGAATCTTGTTCTATACGGTGGAGGCAGCTAAACCAAAAATGGTGGGTGGCAGCTAAACCAAAAAATGCTATTAGAAGATGAAAGAAAATCTGCCAGCTATTTCGTCTTACTTTTTCTTTCGTCTAGAATTGAAGAACAAAGTCTAATCGGTAAATTTTGCTTTGCAGAATCGCCTTCAACAGACAGCTATTGCAGTCGATTCATTAAAACATTTTTTAAAATTAAAAAGTGCTGATATATTTTCGTTGAATCGAAAGGTTAAAATTTTACTGGCTATGCACCTGCAATCATGCGATTGTCCGATCATGATATATTCGTTTTATTTTTTTAGTCTCGATGAATTTAAAATACCATTTTTCAAAACATCAGTTTTCTTTGATATATTATCAAATTATTTGCCTGATTATTCCACTGATAAATGATTAGCAAGTAATAAAAAAATTTCTATTGCTATTTTATTATTTTAGATTGCTCACATAATTTCGATATTAAATTCTTTAAACAATACGAAAAGAGGTAGCGGTGGTCGTCGTATTAAGACTTTAGTGAACGCAGTTAAATTAAACTTAATATCAATTGATAATAAATTAAAAATTGATGAATGTTTGGCGAACCCTTGTTTTAATGGTGGCACTTGCATTGATTTGTATGGCAAATATATGTGCTTGTGTCCCCAACGTTTTCAGGTATTTTTTTCAAAAAAATATTGTTAAAATGTATTGATATTAACCTTTAAAAATGCTACTTTAACCAGTTGTTCTAATAAATTATTGTTTTTTGATTTTGATTAATTTGATTATTGGAATGAAAATGACTTCAATTAAGGGAACATCGTGTGAAAAACGCATTGACGAATGTAAATTGTATGAAGGAACTCCAATGGCTTGCCAAAATAATGCAACATGCGTCGATAAGTCAACCGGTTTCGAGTAAAATTATTCCAAATATTTTATTCATAAATACTATCCTTCTCAAAAATATTTTAAATATTTAGCATTTAGTTTGGGAAATTAAGTGTTGAAAATCTCTTTTCTATCATAATAGAATTGGAAAAATAAATCTAGACCTCGAAATCTTTAGAGCAATTTTTCTAAGTATTGTTCCGCTAAATGAAAAGTAAGGAAAAAAATATATTTAAAAATACAAATTAATCTTTTCCATTTACAATTACTTAATATGATCAGACGAATAAAACTTGTATATAACCTTTTAGACTATATAAAGAAACTAATAAATCCTGATTTCTTGGATAATTATTTCTAAAAAAATGATGCCTTTGCTTTTTACATTGCCACCAGTTTGAACTGAAAAAAATTTTTTTATAAAGGCAGCAAGATGATAACCAAAAGTTTCGTTGTTAGTTTGGTGTCTCGAAAGGGACCAAAAAGGTCTAATCAAGAAGCGAAGTGCACAGTTGATATTTAAAGTAATTTATTCTAAGTAAATGGCCCACCCTGATATAATAGAAAGCCATTTATATATATATATATATTAGAGGCAACCAAGCGCCATGTGCTTGTGTTAAAAACAACAAGTAAGGTCAATAAAAGGAAATAAGTGAGCGATGTATGATGCAAAAGAATCAAAAGTTAACAACGAAAGGAGAAATAACACAATAAATTGGAATTACAGAATAATTCAAGAATATTTCAAATTTGCTGTGTAATCTGCAGCTTTTAAAAAAAAAATCGTTGATGATATTATATTGTTCAATCTTTTTTTAAACAATAGCTAATTCTTTTAGTTATTTTAGTTATGCACTTAGATTTAATAATTTTAACCCACAAGATTTTGTCGGACTGAAATTTAACCTAAAATTATAATATTTTGAACAATCTAATTTAACATAACTATTTAGAATTTTATATGTATAAATTAAATCTTGCCTAATTTGATGAACTGAGAATGAGTCTAGGTCGTATAATTGGAACTGTATTTTATAATTGAGATTGTTATTACTATTATTAGATGAAGTATATAAGTATTTTTGGAGTCCTTCAATTTATTTACTTGATTTTACGCTAGAAAAAAAATGATTAAACACACTTGCAAAATCAGTATCGGAAGTGATCATATCATTATTAAGTGATCATATTATTATTATGCTACAGAATTTTTGTGGATGCAAATTTTCTTTTTAGTATAGTTTCAAAAAGAATATTTAAAAATTGCTCTTCTTAAATTATTTATGAATAGAATAACGAAAATTTTTCAAGCATTCTTTATGAACAAAGAGATTATATGGCAATTTGGTTAACTTATATTTATTATAATGGTTCTTTGCACTTTTTTTAAAGAGATTTTAACGAAAAAAAGATATACCTAGAGCCCTTTTCTTTTTTAGAGGAATATAACGTTCTATGAGGTGTAGTATGGTGAATTTTTGTCCAATAAGTTGGACAATAGAGTCAATGTAGTGTAATATAATGTTGTGCCTGGTGACTTAATGTGTTGCTCTAAACCAGTGTAGGTACACAAGTTTAGAAAATTTTCCTCAAATTTGCTGTTATTTTCATACAATTATATTTTACCAATCTATGTTTGCAGGTTTGGCATATTAAGATCACCAACAATTACATTATCAGGACGAAATAATTTTAATTAAATTAATAAGTTGCAAAAATCATTGGTGAAATTACCTCCGTAGCCTGGCGGATAATATAGATTTAAGAGAAAAATATTTCTATTAAAGGGATAAATTGATAAATTTTTATTATATTCATATTCATATTTATTAGATTCAAAAGAGGAACAAATATAACCATCAAAAATAATAAATTTATAATAATTGAGAATAAGCGTGATAAGCCCACGTATATTTGGACCATGTGCTATTCTGTCCTTGCGTGTTACAAAACCATCGAAGTTTAATTCGCGATTATTAGTAGAGTCGTCCAACTCGTTTCATTGATATTTGGTTTATTAAGTAAAACGATCATACAATTTATATTTAAGAGTCCTCAACATTACTGGTTAAACTCGCTCCACTGGCTTGTCGCATTGGACAAATATGCCAGAGAATCCTTTGGCGATAGAAATACAGGTGAGTCGCCAGCGTCACCCACATTTTTGTACAAGTTCACTTCTGCGGATCATCGAACCTCAGCATTAGCACTCCCAATTGAGCAACAACCACTGAGCCATTCTAGCCCCATTATATATGTATATATATATATATTTATATGTATAAATTTATAGAAATAACTTTCTAGATTAGTAATCCTACTTGTCTGAACATTCTAGGCTGCCTGACCAGAAAAAGGAAGTGAAGACGGAAAATTATAGTCATTCCGAACTATTGGAGAGACTGACTTAATTCCACTATTTGAAGATTTCTGATTATATGCTTCTTCAGATCAAGATTACTAGTTACGAATATAACATTCTTTTCGCAGATCCTTATCTAATATTAATTCACTTTTGGTCGAATATTTTCGCAGAAAACTTCTACGTGGCAGGACAAAGCATACAAAACGCGAAAAACATTGCCATAAACTTATCTTTTAGCCAATTTTTGAATACTAGTGGCCTGATCGATCCTTTCTTTCCATGCTGGCGAACTTCTTTGATACAGTTGATCTTGACTGCAACGGCTGTGACAATATTCTCTGCAAACAGCCTATCCGCAGCAACGGTCTCCTGCTCTGCTCAATTTTTCTGGTATATTTTTCCTGCTAGACATGGAACTTTCAGTTTTTTTTCAAATTAATCTTCGATAATTTCTTATTAACAAAAGACAATAGCATTACGTAAGGAATTTACATCCTTGGTAATGACAGGACCTCATTACTTATATAACGGTCTTTTATGATCAATGCCGTCCTTCTTGTATTAACCAATCTGGATGAGGTCTGATACAGTTAGTCCGCCTAAGTTGCTAGGCGCTCATGAACCGCTGTTAACTTCTTTAGCCAGTAGGTGCGGATAATGTCCGGACCAAGTGTGGATTACATTCCGATCAAACTCCAAGTTTCCATGTTTTTGAATTGGTGTTGGACGACTGTGATGGTGGCCGGTTCCTACTCTGGGAGGCTGCTGTGATTTCTTCTTGCAGCTTTATTTTTTTTAGCCTCTGTTTCTCCAGTATATCTCCTTAACCTAATGGCCAGTACTCAGCTTTTATTTGACAGTCTCGAGCACTTCTGATGGAGTGTAGCCATTGTATTTTCCCAGCATC